TTTGTTTGTTTGTTTGTTTTTTCTAGGACACCCTGTATAGTTTCATGTAGGAGTCTTGATGCAGAATCGTTGTCATATTTTGGGCGGAGATCCCGAGGAGATGGAGGATACATTGCCCCACTTTTTGACCTGGGGGATTACCGATTTAATTGACCCCCCCGCCACACGTGTACGCACTTTTCAAGTCACTGACTTTTTGCGTAGCAGGCTTTGTAATGCTCAACAAGGATGACCTGTCAGAAATTACCCCCAACACACACATGTGGCAAGAATTCAGCCCATGTTTCGTTGTGTACTGACAAAATCAATTGTATAAAAAGCACGCGTAGACAAATTATTGGTTAATTAACGCAGGTACTGAAATTCAAAATCATTTGTTTTAATTGATATTTGCACGTTAACGGTTTGACGAATTGCAGTCTTTAGTTTAGAAGCCTGTGAAAAGTGGTTTTATTAGCTGTAATCTAAATTTGTACGTTTTTAAATGATATCCAAAATGTGAAAGTTGTTGTTTTGATTAATCAATAAATGGGAGGAAAAAGGTATCTGGAGAAATAGCTTCGTCCCGTCATCAACATAGAAAATTTCCATATCCGTTACGTACATGTACATCGTCGGGTGCCGCGAGCACATCAATGCTTGTGTTAGGTCGTGTTGGGAAAATTCTGTCCGGTATTTGGTTGTTTTAGAGATGATGCCGACCAGATGTGTCACCGCAGGCTCCGGCAACACCTATAAAGGTTGGACAAGCCTGCATAATTTTCCGATCGATGCAAAATTTAGACGAATTTGGACATCAAAAGTCAGGCTAATGAGCTCCAATGTGCCCAGTGCGCATCTCGAGCCACAGTGTTTTCTTCCGAACATATACGACTTCTTTGGGGTACCTTTACACGACTACTGAAGTCAGACACTACGCCCACGATCTTTAGGAAATCAAAGAAAGTCCATAAATAAAGACGAAGATGAACTTTTGTGAAACGCAAACGACAAAGAGTAAGAAATGCTTTCAAACCGGCTTATGCTACTCCACTCAATTACTCGTATGTATGGGTCGTGGTGCCCCTTTATGTACGACCCTTTATCGCGGTAATGACGTCACGAAAAGTTTTTTCGAACAATGAGGGCGCTAGCTATCTGGGTTAAGGGCAAAGATTAAACTCGAGTCTATGAGGTCGAGTAAAGACTAAAGGCAAACACCAGTAAGCTCCTCAAACTTGTGACGTTTGTTTTGATTTATAACAACAGTGAAGGTAATTAATATGTGCTATAAACAATGTAGAAGTGAGTTCTGATAGTGTCTACACATTGTGTAGTTTTTAATGACACTTTTCTTACTGTTTGGAGAGCATTCACCAGCATGACCAGGGCCTATTCATTCATTGTAGGCCTACGTGGTTATGTTAATCATGTCCTAGGCCCATTCGTATGCTTGGTGGACACTGGTAGTGTTTTCTAGGCCTTGGCCCCAGTGTTCAATCGACTCAACATGTACTTTTACCCAGTAGCCAGGTCATTCTAGGCCGACAAGGCCCTGCTCCTCATTTTCTTTTTTTGAAATTGGTGAGTGGATTTTCCCCATTAATTGAGTACCACAGAAGTCACTCATAGCGATAGGCCTAGGCCAACACCTTGTTTGCTTTTGATTTTGACAAGTTAGTTGTGTGGATAACCTTACCTGAATGTACCACTATAAAGTATAATACTGCCCTCACATTTGAAAAAAAAATGTGAATTCTGCACTAAATGTGCTCAACATGCAGTGCTGCGTTGGGGCCTTCATTCTTTAACAACACAAGTCCCTTCACAGGCCCAGTCACAAGTCCCTTCACAGGCCCAGTCACAAGTCCCTTCACAGGCCCAGTCACAAGTCCCTTCACAGGCCCAGTCACAAGTCCCTTCACAGGCCCAGTCACAAGTCCCTTCACAGGCCCAGTCACAAGTCCCTTCACAGGCCCAGTCACAAGTCC